ATATTGTTCAGACGTGCATATATCCCAAATTACTATATTGTAAACTCTTCAGAATATAAAATGAAAGGTTTGATGTCTTTATGTAATATAAAAGTCTTGAATAACTTGTAAAATTTCACAAAAAAATCGTATGAAATAATTATGATTATGAATATATTATCATCACTTACATTTATTCGACTTGCGATCTTAAATCCCATTATTATAGCTCTGAATGATTTTCACGTGTTATTAATGTTTATATTTGTGTACAGAGAATTATGTATAATGAACTATTGAGGTTTAGAGCTGGCATGTCAGTAATTGCTAGTAGTCCTTTGTTCATTTATGTATCATTGTCATTTTGCTTAGTTTCTTTTGTTACCTATTCTGATATCGGACTGGATCTTTTTAAACTGAGTTTTACTGTGTTTTATGTGCTATGTGTTTCTTTTTTCTACATTGACTATAGGTATAGGGGGAGGGTTGAGATCTCACAAAACATGTTTAACCCCGCCGCATTTTTGCGCCTGTCCCAAGTCAGGAGCCTCTGGCCTTTGTTAGTCTTGTATGTTTTTTAATCTTAGTTCATTTATATGTTTTTGAGTTTAGTGTGACGTCCATTTTCACTGAACTAGCACACAATTTTATTTAGGGGCTAGCTGAGGACCACCTCCGGGGGCGGGATTTTTTCGCTGCGTTGAAGACCCATTGGTGGCCTTCGGCTGTTGTCTGCTCTTTGGTCGGGTTGTTGTCTCTTTGACATATTCCCCATTTCCATCCCCAATTTTATGTATGTATTTTTCTTTCTATCTGTTCACCATTGTAAAATATTATTTGTATCAATTGTCTGCCTCTTGTTACAGTGTAAATTGTATAGAGTATTAATAAAAGTTCTTAAAGTTCTTAAGTTAAACATCTAACCCCCTTGTTTTATTGATTTTGTATTTACATTGTGTCATAGAACAAATTTATTCGTTCAGTGTATGTTCACTTGCTTTTGTTGATATGTCTTTTGATTGAGTTAAGCCATTTCAATTGATATTTTATAGTGTCTTTCTATGTTGTGATGTTACACTATTGTTTTAGGTAGGATGAAGGTTTGCGCCTATTAAAACGTTCTAACCCGCTGCATTTGTTTGCGCCTGTCCTAAGTCAGGAACCTGATGTTCAGGGGTTGACGTGGTTCATAAGTGTTTCTCTTTTCTCGTTTTTTATATAGATTTGATCGTTGGTTTTCCTGTTTGAATGGTTTTACACTAGTCATTTTTTGGGCATTTTATAGCTTGCTGTTCGGTGTGAGCCAAGGCTCCGTGTTGGCCTATAATGGTTTACTTTTACAAATTGTGACTTGGATGGAGAGTTGTCTCATTGTCACTCATACCACATCTTCTTATATCTACATAAACAATGTGGTGGCATTAAACATGTTACTGAGCGCTCAACTCTCCTCTTACCGGGGACAGTTGTGTACATACAGCATAAGAACAAACTGTGAAATGAGTGCACACGCTGAAATGTCTCACCTACTTTACTTTTTATGATTAAATTTATGTTGAGAGTGTGCAATATGAAAATTTTACTACAAGTATCATTTAAATATTATATTATCAATGATCGATCTAAATGAAGTCAAATTCATATGAACCCTGAAAAAACAGACATTTACACCTTACAATCATTCCATACACCAAATATAGTTGATCTGTTGCTTATTATACATGTATCTGATAAACGGACAAAACCATGAACAATCAACATTGACTAATGAACAATGGAAATGAGGTTAATGTCAGATGAACCCTGCCAGACAGACATATACACAATACTATCGTTCCATACACCAAACATAGTTGACCTATTGCTTATTATATCTTAGAAATGGCAAAACCATGAAAACTTAACATTGTCCAATGCACCAAGTATAATCATCATATTGCTTATAGTATCTGACAAATAGACCAAATCAGAAAATAATAACATTGTCCAATGATCTATGAAAATTAGGTCAAGGTCAGATGAAACCTGCCATACCAGTCGGATATATACACATAAGGATTATTCCATATCCGTAATGCAGTTGACCTATAATTGCTTACAGTATCTGAGATCAATAAAAAGTGATAACTTTGCATCACAAAAAAATATATTTTTATTTTCAAACAGTCGCTGAACCACGGAAATAAATGAGGATACTAGTAATTGGCATTTGACAGACAAACACTTCGTAACATAAGGCATCTGCAAACAAGATATGAAGCATCTTGGTCTTCTAACTTCTGAAATATAATGCTCTATACAAATAGTTTACGCCATAACCACCGCAGCAGCAGCCGGATAGTCATCCCTATGTCTTGCATTCTGTGACTTTCGTCGCAAGCGAGACACAAATCGGTTGTAAATGGATCATCTCAATAGAACAGTATAAAGCACAAAAACAATAAATATAAAAACAATACACACAAAGCATCGAGACAATAGAACTCGCAGTTACTGTAAGCTATTCAGAGCCAATTAAAACAAATAAACAAATTCATGGTTTTCCAGACTAAAGTATCAGTCAATACACATCCAATGGATTCATTGTAAAGATATCATAAACTATCTGAAAAACTGTCACTCATAACCTTATGTAGTGTCAAACACAAGTAAATAATACTGACATGATGCAGGATCATAAGTACTCATAACTGTTTAGCGTTATATATTAAGTTACGTTTTTATTTCAAATACAAAATCAATGTTAGTCCGGATAAAACAATATTTAAAGATTTCACTATGGCGTTAATACAAAGGATCAATGGGTTAACATGAATCGTAACTTCATCTAAGGTCTTTATAAACAATATCACCGTAAAAATTATGATCCTACAGGTACAGCTAAACTTCCCAACCAAAATCTTTGTACCTTCGAAAGAATTTTGATTTTTTCTTTTATTAATTTGTGGTATGAGTGACTTAACTATTTACATACCAGTTATACCTCTATTACGTTCATTGAAAATAAAATGTCACTACAGATACGGGCATATAGCGAACAAGTTGTTAAATATACACACCGTTAGAAAAAAACAATTAGCCCTCACAGTCCTAAAAGGGAAAATTAACTATAGGGAACGAAAATTGTCTCTTTTATCATAAATTTTCTATAGAGTTTCCCGTGTTAAACAGAAATATCCAAAATTAAAAAAGGACAGTTATTGCTATTTGCTTAATTTCTCTTGTGTAATTTTTATTTATCTATTTTTGTCAAAGTTTTCAGGTTGTATGTACACCAGGGATGGGCACGATTACTGACAAATGTAATCGATAAATAATCGATTACATGAAGGTATTTTGTGCAATCGATTAATAATCGATTACTCAGATTTTGTATGAAATCGATTGCTGTCGATTACTTTATCAAAAGTTATTACATTACTTTTCGATTACTGTCAATTACATGCTTCAAAATTTAGAAAAAAAATAAAGTAAGTTAAACACAATTATGTTGATCAACGTTTGTATAGTGGAAATTTAGAACTTTACCAAAAAAACAGCATTTAAAGCATTGTTTCCAATTATAAGTTGACAGTTGTAATCTAGATGGAATCTCTTACTGAGGATCAGAATTATTAAAAAAATCTTGAAATTTTGACTTTCAACATGAATTAGAGATGACATCGCATTCCATCAATCACTTAGATATATGTTTAAGTTTTTTTCAATAATTTTGCTTTCGTACTGAATTAAGTTATCTTTTTTGTTTTTATTCATTAAAAGCAGGTATATTTTAGCATAGTTATTTACAATGTTGGAAGTTTTCTCTGAAGAAAATATAAAAAAGTAGAATTATTAATTAGTTCAGCTAATTATAAAGATCAAAATTTATAACTATAATGACAGACATGATTTAATCCTTTTGTTGAATAACCACCTTAATTATAGGTTATAAAACTGCCAATGGAGTACAATTTATAACCTGGGGCAAAATAATGTGAATCTCCATCTTAATTAGACAAACAGTAATTAAAATAAAAACAAAGTATGTGTCTTATAAAGTGATTAGAAGACTTTGATCATCTGATTAGTAAAGACAAGAAGTTTGTTAAGATTTTTTTATTCTCTAATAAAATTATAAACAGTATATATTTATAGTGTCAACGAGGGATACATGTATCTTTTTCTGAAAAGAATTTCAATGCATAGGCATTGGTTCATTGTTAAAAGGATTTTGTGTACTTTCTTATTTTTTATATGCATGTATATCATAACATTATAAGAAATCAACTGTTTATCTATTCTAAGCTTAAATCTTATTGAAAATTATGCTTTTAGGAAATTTATTACAAATAAGCTTACTACTTTAAGGAAGTACAGAACTTAACTTAAGACACATTTCTTATTTTAAATCTATTTTCTTATTTTAAATCAACTTTCTTATTTTAATATAAAAAGTGTGTGTTGCACATAAATCCATTTGTTTCAAAAGCTAGATATAAAGTAAATTATGGTAGGGGATCTGATTGATTATAATGCAGCCTGAGACAATAGATAGAAATATAAAGGCAGTTGATAAACTCTTAAGTCATATCAGTACTTCAAAGTGATGAATACATACATGTTTTCATTTAAAATAGGTTATATTTTATCAAACTATTTTACTAAAGTAATCGAAATGTAATTGAAAGTAATCGATGATTACATCATTTTTGCTGTAATCGATCAAATTACGATTACATGTAATCGAAAATGTCTTTGATAACAGATTACTGTCGATTACTGGAAAAAATGTAATCAATTACAATCGATTACGATTACAGATTACGATAACCCCATCCCTGATGTACATCTAAAAGTTAAGATTATCTGAGCACTGTAGATTGGTTTGTATTATTTTAGTATTTACGTAGACACCATGTATGTTTTAAGTACACCTTTTAGTTAATGTATTTGTAGGCTTTAAGAATAAAATTTTTTTTTAATTCGAAACAGCTATTCAGTTATTTTTAAATATAAATTTCTAAACTTATTATGCTTACGGTCTCCCCTATAATACATAACAACTCTATGTATGTATGCTGAATACCCAAGATCCAGTCTCCACCATGCTGATGAGAAACCTATATCAGTATGACAACAGCTTCCCGCAATAAAAAGTTGATTTGTATTTCCATCAATTACTTTCGATGCACCATAATTATTATTATAAGCATCCCGGTAAACACTACTTTGAATCGCTGAACCATTGGCGGCCAAATTAGCTACAAAAACAATTAATACCAAATTCGAAAATTTAATGTTAATACAGTCTTGAAATTTTGAATAATCTGGGGCCTGATAACAATTATAACCAGTATTTACAGTGTTTTACTTTTAGTTTTGCAGTACAAAGTCAAAGAGTTTTTTTTTATATGTCAGATTTTTTATATGTCGGATTGATTATGTGAAGCATAGTGCTAGTTTCCTTAACAATTTATAATCTACGTCTTTAGGAAAAGTTCGTTGGAAATTTCAAATTAAGGTAGATATTTGGAATTATACATTTAATAAACATTTGCAATGTAAGAACATGAATAATAATTTCATGGTAGATATTGTGTCCGACGAAGATCGTGTTTTTTCGAGTGAATCGGTCCACTTTTCTCGATTGTAGATCAGTTTATTCAAGACTGTTCATCTTATTCTGAATACTAATATATATAAGAAGATGTGGTATGAGTGCCAATGAGACAACTCTCCATCCAAGTCAAAATTTATAAAAGTAAACATGTTTTGATCACAAACGACGCACAATTTCCTTGTAGTTCACTAATAGTTCAGTGTTTTACATTGTTCGTGTTTTTTTTCGAGAGCAACATTTAAAACGTCTGGGTTTTAAAACAAATGGTCCGGGTTTTTCAAAGAAAATGTGAAAAAGAAAGAAGGCATTTTTGGACTTAAAAACTAACTTCTTCTATTTTGTAACTATAATTTTTCCGAAGAGCAATATTTTAACAAATAAAATAGAGAATGGAAATGGGGAATGTGTCAAAAAGACAATAACCCGACCAAAGAGTTAAAAACACAGCCGAAGGCCACCAATGGGTCTTCAACACAGCGAGAAAATCCCGCACCCGGAGGCGGACTTCAGCTGGCCCCTAAACAAGAATGTGTACTAGTTCAGTGAAAATGGACGTCATACTATACTCCTAAACATATAAATGAACTAAAATAAAAAAAACATACAAGACTAACAAAGGCCAGAGACTCTTGACAGGCGCACAAATGCGGCGGGGTTAAACATATTACTATGTCAATCAAATTCAACCCTTTTCAATTTAATGATAATTTTCTGTTCTGAAAATATTTAACCATAACCTTGCAGTATTAAGATATATTAGAAATTACTGGATTCTTTGTAAAACTGTCTTTAGAACCGAGAACAGGGGACTCATAATCTTTTCAATATCATTTCATGCTACAATATTTTTAACAGTAAATAATAGAAAAAAAGTAAATCACAAAAATACTGAACTCCGAGGAAAATTCAAAACGGAAAGTCCCTAATCAAATGGAAAAATCAAATGATAAAACACATCAAATGAATGGACAACAACTGTCATATTCCTGACTTGGAACAGGCATTTTCAAATGTAGAAAATGGTGGATTGAACCTGAATTTATAGCGCTAAACCTCTCACTTGTATGACAGCCGCATCAAATTCCATTATATTTACAACGATGAGTGAACAAAATGTCACAAATAGTGTATGATTTATATGTATTACAGAGACGAAACCTGGAGTCTAAAAAAAAGGGTTATGAAACCAAAGGGACAGAAGTTATAAATTCAGTAAAATGCAATATACAATGAAATAAATAATCTATAAGCTTTAATATGATCCTTTTGAAATAATAATAAGAAAAATAATACTATAGCGTACACATCGTGTATTTAATTCATGTCCTTCGCAGAGTTCCGTAGATATACATTGGTAATTGTAATGTCTAGATAGAGATCCTTATTTTTTTATTTTTTAAAGCACTGTTAACTGATGGAAAAGAAGTATCATGGTGTTTTATTGCTGTGTGACCAAGTATAACATACGCTTGATCATACTCCTCATCACAGTAGAGGCATTTGAAATAAAACAAATTATCATCAATACAAATAGTAAATAAAACATTTGGGATGTATTTTCTGTTAAAAAGGATACACATCCCCGCTATACACATAATATACGTACGTTTCAGTCCAACACTGTACTGCTTGATATTTTAGTCTGGGAATTATTTTTAAGTTGTAAATGGCTTTGACCTTGCTTTCAGTAAATGCGAGTACTCTTATATCGATACGTTGTATATATTGTGTTTATGTTAGTTGGTTTGTTTGTGCTTCGTACTGATCTATTAAGTAAAGCCAGTTGTAACTGATTTTTACAGTTTGTTCTTATTGTGTGCTGTAACACCACTGTCCAAAGTTAGGGGAGGGTTTAGGGCTTACAAACATGTTTAACCCCGCCACAATCTTTATATGCCTGTCCCAAGTCAAGAGCCTGTAATTCAGTGGTTGTCGTTGGTTCATGGTGACCTATATCTACTTTTATCTTCGTCATTTGAACTCTTGTGGATAGTTGTCTCATTGGCATTCATACCAAATCTCCTTTTCTTTATATATAGTTCTGTGTTCACATTAATATTGTTTAAAACTCGAATATTTACTGTATGAGATCCATATTTCGTTCATTCGACATCGATATACGTATGTTTCGATCGATACAACATGTGTACCTGGGCGTTGACTTGTTGGAAAGTTCCACCATATTTACATGGGCTTGGACATTTTGCTCTATCCAAATAAACCAATGCCAGCGTCCATGCAAGTTATAAGATGTAGCAAACAATAATATATACAAATATACGATGCGTTTTACGATTGTACGTGTTACGTACTATAGTAATTGCACTGACATATAACATTTTAAGCCATTGTAATTTTGTTTAATCACTCGATCAAAACCTTGTAAGCACTCAAAAAACCCGGACTGCTCTCGAAAAAACACGTACATATAAAAATGAATTTATTTTTAAAATGTCCTTCTCAATGCAATAACAAAATGTTTTGTAAAGTGTCTGTATATCTAAAAAAAAGTTGAAATTTGCACTCGAAAAATATGGTCACACTAAAAAAAAAACGATCAAATCACTCGAAAAAATCACGATCCAAGACGGACACTATACCTTCTGTGTGTTCATGTCACTGAACTGTTATAAAGTATACACAGCATGTAAAAAAATGGTATGCAAACAGTACTTACGGAATGCTAAAGTACGACTGAACAAGACAGTAATTACCAAAATGATAGTTTTAAAGCGCATCCTTAGCTGTTCCTGTAAATAATTCAAAAATATTAGATTGTTAAAAGATTGATTGATTTTTAACGTCCAAGACTTTAAATATTATGCAAATCATTTCTATTGTACAAATGTAAACGGTATTAGCCAATATTATGAAGACATAAACGATTGAACATGCAATGAAATAACTCAAGATTTTTAACGAATCGGGGTTGCTTGTTATGATCGCCTTTACATATCAAGGATATCACTGATGCAACATAATTTACAGTGTGTAATTGGTAAGAACTTCAATAAATGTCCGACGGGTAGGAATATCAAGTTCTGGCTAAACTGTTCCGTGTATTTATATATTGTAATACCATTTCTATTCTATTAGGTAGACTATCGGAAATATGTATAAAAAAGAAGATGTAGTATGATTGCCAATGATACAACGCTCATCCATAGACACATGACGTAGAAGGTTAGCAACTATAGGTCACGGTATGGCCTTCAACATGTTTGTTGAACGATTAGGAAGTTTTGATATTGGACAATATATTTTCTACGCTATTGCGAAGTTTGATATTTTGACATTTTCATTTGAGCAAATCGTCTGCTTTGTTCATTATTTAGTTAACATGTGAAATCCAGCTCGGCCGGTTACTTCGTAAGGTAAAAGTAAACCTGTTTTTGAAAAGCAAACTAAAGCTTGATTAACGCATTGTGACTGATAATTTCTGAACGGCGCAACAGTGCTTATTGGTTATTAGGGCGATAAATTAAAGTTTACATACGAATGACATCGCTGTTTGGTTCATAACTGTATAGTGAGTGCGACTTGGTGCATGGTCAAACATGATACTCATCATTATAACTTTTTCAGCCTTTTCTGGCATAAATTGTCGAAACTGTCTATTAGAATTTAATATCAAAATGTATTGATCGTGTGTTTTTTATTCAGAAAATATCCCATTGAACCTAACAACGACTTCACATTTGTTTTTTTTTTGTTTTTTTTTTTTTTTAAATCTAGTTTGTACTGTCTTGATGTTTATATGCGTCTCCACTCCTTAAATCATTTCTAGCATTAATAAACCAGGGAAATAAGCTTTTATTAGCTATGCGCTTTCACTTCATTCGTTTCATTAACTCGAAACTACAACGAAAAAGTCGTCTGATATTTGAAACTTTTTTTTGTCAGATTTCAAGGTACATGCAATAGTAGAGGTTTTGCTTAAAACATATCTTATGTATGTCAATAAAGCGCCGAGTTTTCGCCGGAAGACATGAATCAAACAGCCATGTAAAGCTGTATACACATCTATTAAATGTTGAAAGTAGACCATATAAAAATAAGAAGATGTGGTATGATTGCAAATGAGACAACTCTCCGGACAACTCTCCAGACAACTCATCTGATCGATGCAAAGCAGACAAAACATCTAACGTCTCACAGACCGGCAGGGTATTTATACATCCCCACAACAAAAAAGACAATAAGTACAAACCTGAGATTATTCGCGGTTACTGTCAGCTAATTCAAAGCCAATAATAACTAATGAAAAAATCATGCCTCTGAGACTAAAATAAAATTATTAGAATAAAGAAAATGAATTTCTTATAAAAGTAGTGTAATTGAAATTTATTCATTTATTCGTCGTATTCAACGAATGAAGATTCTTCTAAAGTCTACCTTGGAGGAAAAGGGGGGGGGGGGGGTTACAATAAACACGAGGAATTTTTTTTTTTATAAATTTTAAAGAGACGGTCCTTTTAAGAACATCATGTCGACCAAAGACGTTAATTTAAAATTTAATGTACAGGCCAAAATATAATACGAAAAAACAGATAAGTTATGTGAACATTATTGAAATGTCTTTGATACAACAAGACATATTTACATCTTGTGCGGTTCGCTATAGATTTACAGCATCTATTTATATATTATTATTTATGCTTGTTGTATTTAGCACATCGATTACAATTACAAATACATGCATGTGATATAAAACCTAAAAAGACAAATACAAAACTTCTCCAGAAATAGACGCCGTAAGATAATGGGGGAATGGTACGTTATGAAAATAAGAAGATATGGTTTTATTGACAATGAGACAAGTATTCCAAAGGACCGAAGGTCAGAGATGTAACAACAATAGCTCGTCATTTGTCCTTAAACCGTGATCAGAACCCGTACCATAAGGTAAGTTGTAAAAAGCTCCGGGTGAGATAACAAACGGTCTGATTTAGGCTAATTATCAACATATAATAAAATATAAAGTAAACCTTTGTCAAGCGTGTCGGACTCCCCCAAGGTCGTTTATTCATAGATTGTGGAGGCATCGAAGTGTCGTTACTACCAATTATCCAAAATGTGATAGTGGTCTATTGATGTTTGTCGTCGCCTCAAAAACTGGAACGGGATGTACTATCTATTTACTACATATTGTGTAAAATGGAATGAAAAGTTGGTGAATATGTCCTTTTTATAACTCTGAAGTCATATCTAGGCAGAAAATACTGAGTGAAAATATGCCAGTTCAGGTCTTTCCGTAAATAATAGGGGGAGGGGTTAAATTTTTGCCAAAAACTACTTTTGACAAACGGCGTTAAAAAGAGTTGTGTTTAGCAGTTTAACTGATGGAGGATAGTTTGTATTGTACATGTAAGGAATTTTTAGAGCTTTTACAAGGATTTCTCTGTAGAAAATAGTGGGGTTACTTGGATGTTTTTCACAATTAATATATATTGTCCTGGTAGAATAATTTTTCCTTATGGCCAAAAAATAGGTAAAAAAAACATAAAATGTTTGATTCGATAAGAATCTGTCAAATATATTACAACATTAAATCAAAATCATATACAACGAATTTCCCTTTTATATATTATCCTGAATAAACTCATAGATACCAGGATTGAAATTCTGTATGCCAGACGCGCGTTTCGTCTACAAAAGACTCATCAGTGACGTTCGACTAAAAAATGTTAAAAAGGTCAAATATAGTACGAAGTTGAAGAGCAATGAGGACCCAAAATTCCTTAAAGATTTGCCAAAAACATCTAAGGTAGGTTTTGTAAACAGTAAATATGACCATATCAATGATAATTTATGTCAACACAGAATAATACTTTTAATTTAAACAGTTAGAATAATTTATTCGATTTATATGTGTACTACATTGTGATAATTAAAACATAAAATGTTAAATGGCAATTTGTTATGTAGAAAATGTTCTGCCCCGGTACGTCACGCGAACCAAAATATATAAACCTGACAAATATGAACAGTTAGTTCATATTTATTCAGGAACATATTTATTTTTCAGACTACTTATACTAAATCGAAGTACAAAAGAAAAAGGATTTAAGAAAGGAACAATTAAAATCATAATATTGTTTTGACTGCATGGTGAGTAAAATAATCATGCATTAAGTAGGGTAGGAATGCCCTTTATCGTTAACGTTATTTTAACAAATATTTTACTGTCATTAATCATGAAGGGAACCATATCCCTACCCTCTTTAAGACAGGCAAAACAGCTGATCTGCAACGTAAATATCTACCTGCCACAATATATCATGTACTGTGTCACAACCCTAAATAAATCCGACGACGAAAGACATTACTCAACTGTCGAAAGCAATGCTGGTCGACAGAGTGTTGTAGAGCGCTGGACACATTGCAGAAGGTGTTGCAACGATGTAACAAAAGCAAGGCTTCAAAGCCTGCCGAGTGAAAAAAAAACTGCTAACGCTAATTTACACAATTAGCATTGCTAATTTCTAAAATATCAGAAGAAATAAGAAGTATATACATATATATATATATGAGAGAGAGAGAGAGAGAGAGAGAGAGAGAGAGAGAGAGAGAGAGAGAGAGAGAGAGAGGAATGAATGAAATCTGCATGTTACAAGTTTTCTATTCGTATCATATAAACATGATCAAAGAACTTACGTTTCAACACCTGTTTACCAATGGATGATTCTTCAAATCTTCTCAAGTAGTATGTCACTTTAGGATCCAAACCTTAACAAAGCTTTAATCATTTTACCCAGTTTTTGCAGATGTCTCACAAAGTTGAAAATTTGCCTACATTTGAAACAAGGAAGAACGTAAACACTGAAGAGAGGGTCTGTTTTCCAATGCTATCATGTTTACATCATGTTTAAGAACAGGAAAATGATATAATATTGAAGCATCGTTTAAAATGTCTACTTTAGTAATATTACATGGAAATGGTAAGATCTTTAAATTTCTGTATTTGATCATTCTCTACTTCCTTCTTCATGTTTTAATCGTGATTTGTTTTAACTTTATTTATTTTTTTTTATGTTAACTTGGAACAAACAACAAAAAATGTTTACATTTACCTATAGACTCTCCTCTTATATTTAACAAATTAACAGACGATTCTCGGTACATATGATTGTTGTTTGCTAACAAAATTCTATGAACACTATTAACAATTATGCTGTCATGTCGAGGCCGTACATTGCTGACTAAACGGTATTAGTTTTGCTCATTGTTGAAGGGCGTACATTGACCTATAGTTGTTTTCATCTACGCCATTTGTTCTCTGTTGGATAGTTGTCTCGTTGGTGATCATGCCACATCTTTTTTATTTTAATATAGAATTCTGATTTAAATCGTTGTTATTTATATGTGAATGAAATTTTAAATAAAAGACGGGGATTTGTGTTTCTGTTCACACATAGTTGGTCTCATATGATGAATTAATTAAGCACCTCTTGGTCACACACTGTGGATGTTTTACTTCATGTCAAGAAGTACAATTATGAATACAGATTGGGTACAGATTAAGTATTTTATAATGTTAATAGTTAAATCTTAAATAACTATAATACTTGACAGGCATCCATCTAAATTTTATTCTTTTTTTTAAAGAGAGCCCGTTTTTAAAAAATGTTAAAAGCACACATTATAAGTGCATTATATATATATATGTTTATATAATAATTGCGGTTTTTATCCAACGCAATCATAGGTTTGAACGTTGTTCTCAATTTAGGAGGCTTGTTTATATTTTTTCGTTTGGGCTCGTATTATATTTGCCTTCGGGTTTATATGATCCGTTCATCCTATTTTGACTCCTCAAAATTCAAGAGTCTATCCTAAATTGAGGTAAATTATGTGGCCTTCCAATAACCGTTTCGATTCCTAACATTAATTGTCGAAATCAGGATATGGTGTACAAAAAATCTTTGCACCTTTGTTTGCGGTATACCATCTTTGGCGCCAGTTTATTGTTTTCTGTTTGGTATTAAATTTATAGTTAAGATCCATTTATTACACCTTGTGATCCGTTTATTTGGCAATCGCCAATGGCAGTCAGCAGGATTTAAGAACATTTGTTGTTCGACCTGTTAGTCAAATGCGTTTTGTTAAAATATACTTTTTCACTTTTTTGGTCTTTTGGAAAATGTTGTTTGTGCTGTATTTAGACCCCTGTAACAAGAAATTTGTTTTGCATGCACACGTATAAAAATTGCGGTTTTTATCCAACGCAGTCATAGGTTTGAACGTTGTTTTCAATTTAGACTTGTTTATATTTTTTCGTTTGGGCTCGAATTATATTTGCCTTCGGGTTTATATGATCCGTTCATCCTATTTTGACTCCTCAAAATTCAAGAGTCTATCCTAAATTGAGGTAAATTATGTGGCCTTCCAATAACCGTTTCGATTCTTAACATCACTGAAGAGACATTAATTGTCGAAATCCGGATATGGTGTACAAAAAATTTTTGCACCTTTGTTTGCGGTATACCATCTTTGCCGCCAGCTTATTGTTTTCTGTTTGGTATTAAATTTATAGTTAAGATCCATTTATTACACCTTGTGATCCGTTTATTTGGCAATCGCCAATGGCAGTCAGCAGGATTTAAGAACATTTGTTGTTCGACCTGTTAGTCAAATGCGTTTTGTTAAAATATACTTTTTCACTTTTTTGGTCTTTTGGAAAATGTTGTTTGTGCTGTATTTAGACCCCTGTAACAAGAAATTTGTTTTGCATGCACACGTATAAAAATTGCGGTTTTTATCCAACGCAGTCATAGGTTTGAACGTTGTTTTCAATTTAGACTTGTTTATATTTTTTCGTTTGGGCTCGAATTATATTTGCCTTCGGGTTTATATGATCCGTTCATCCTATTTTGACTCCTCAAAATTCAAGAGTCTATCCTAAATTGAGGTAAATTATGTGGCCTTCCAATAACCGTTTCGATTCTTAACATCACTGAAGAGACATTAATTGTCGAAATCCGGATATGGTGTACAAAAAATTTTTGCACCTTTGTTTGCGGTATACCATCTTTGCCGCCAGCTTATTGTTTTCTGTTTGGTATTAAATTTATAGTTAAGATCCATTTATTACACCTTGTGATCCGTTTATTTGGCAATCGCCAATGGCAGTCAGCAGGATTTAAGAACATTTGTTGTTCGACCTGATAGTCAAATGCGTTTTGTTAAAATATACTTTTTCACTTTTTTGGTCTTTTGGAAAATGTTGTTTGTGCTGTATTTAGACCCCTGTAACAAGAAATTTGTTTTGCATGCACACGTATAAAAATTGCGGTTTTTATCCAACGCAATCATAGGTTTGAACGTTGTTTTCAATTTAGACTTGTTTATGTTTATATATATATATATATATATATATATATATATGTGTGTGTGTGGGCGGGGTGTTAGGGGAATTGTGTGGAGTTGGTGTGTGTGTGTGAGAGAGATTAATATTTATTTGGTTTGGCAAAAAAGAAACTTACAAATTATAATAGTACTTATACGCAGAGGATCATTCTGGTATCTTTAGTGCAAGATTTTGTTTAAATGTTGGAGGTGGGTTCTGAGAAAAACTATGTGTATGTATTTCTCAAAGGTTTCTACATTTATCTCTGATCCTTGGTGCCAACTCTCTTTGATTTTGATTGGCACACAAACCTCGAAATCCCTATTCACAATAACAAGCGATTCCTCAAAAATTCTTTGCCATATCAGGCAAATATTTAGCCCCAACTGAGAATTTTCCTAAAACATCGAAAGACTTTTTGAAAATGGTACTGCTGTGAAATAAAGACAAGAGAAGTGGGACTACCGGTTTGTTCCGTTTATTTTGCCCAGCTATTAAAACCCAACATAAATAAATAATCTTTGATTATATCTGTTTTGGGAAAACTTAGAGCTTTTAAACATATTGTATAGATAGAATATGTCTACTGTTGAAGACTATTTATTGCCTACTTATTCGTTGTCTTTTTGTTATTTTTGTCGTGGGGTTGCAGTGTCGTTGACCTATACCGCACTTCTCCTTCTTTTCATATTCAAAAAATCTATAGAAATTCATAATATAGTATTTGTATGGGGAATTGTAAACTAAGTCGTAACTATGTTTGTTCTACTCCATTTTCTGGCTGAAATAAACTTATGTGTAATTTGCTAAAACAAAAAAAAACAACAACAAAAAACAAAAACAAACAAAAAGGATTTTAGTGTAACAATGTCATTAAACTGTTTAGATATGAGGATTTATTTGATATTTTGTCGTTGGATACACCCTTTCCCCACCCTCTGCCCTCCAAAACAATAAAAGACAAATCATAACACACAAACAAACAAAACAAAAGACGACTAATCAGAATCAGAATAATTTATTATTATGTCACAAACCAATATAAAACACAATGATTACATAGTTACATATTATGCAATTAAAAATTGAATATAACAATTAAGATATTGGTACCCAGCCAAATAACTGACTAATGAGACACTTTAAAAATAACACATACTATAAACAATTAAAATTTAAGCATTAAGAATACCATAATTTGAAACACTTAACTGAATCATGTCAATTGCTTTAGCAAACCATGTCAAATTTTCGATATGACGCTTCACGTTTGTCAATTTTCAACAACCACAATTAAAATATTGAACTTTTGACGTAAAACATTGATTCTAACATCTAAGACTTATTAATTTTTGTATGCTTATTTTAGAGAACTAAGGCAATCGACCTAACCAAACCATGACCAAATGAACCACATCATCATGAAAAAAATCACTGTACGAACACTTTTCGTTTTTTTATCAATTTAAATTTTTGTTTTTAATCATTCATAATTTTGCTAGTATATTTTATCACAGGCAACTGTCTCTGAAAAAAATTACCTAATTACTTTAATATAACGCAAAGTACCCAACTCGTTTTTTTGAGAAATGACACTCGGTCGCAAAATTCCGATATATTTCGATTCCGCCGTTGTCTATCCCACTGAAACTTACGTTGTAAGTCTATATTAAATTATCTAAAAAATTGTGTATAATACGCCTATTTCTGTTGTTGGAATCATACGTAGCAGGCCTCCCATGTAGACCAACCGTAAATTGTGTCTTCTTTTCAAAGTCAAATTGCAATGTTATTATAATAATCTCGCAGTGAATCATAGTTTCTTTTTTAAACACAAATTTTCCCATTCTATCAATATCAATCAGACTCTCTGTGGACTTTACATATAAAATTTAATTACCAACGAGACAAATTTCCAACAGAGACCAAATAAAATAGAAGTTGACAACTAAAGGTCACCGTACGAAGTATGTAGGTATTTTTTTGTCAGAGACTAGTGCCTGTGTATTATATGAATAGGAATTTTCTCATTGGGTTAAAGCACACGGAATCTTCTTTGTAAAACATTTTATTTAATGATATGATCAAGTCTATTCTTATACTGATAAATCAGCATGTCCAATACTGATGACGTCAACCTGTTGATGTTTTATACAACTTTTTGAACAACACAGAGCCATGATTCTAACGTGCTAGTTTACAGGAAGACATGTCACCCTACCCGTACACATTATTCCGATTCCAGGCCGACCAGCCTTTCCTCTTACTCATAAAAATCTCGTTCTTAGGGACTTATCATTTTTTATCTGGGAGGGGGCTGGTCAAAATGCAGGGGGGGTCAAGTTTTTTTCTGTATGTGGAAAAAGGGTGTTCAATTTTTTTTATGAATTCAAAGTGGGGGGGGGGATCAATATTTTTTGCACATGGAAATGAGTAGTTTGCATACTTCAAAATACAAAATGTGAAGAAGAACCGATGATTACAACAGTCAAACGGAAATATATGTTTACCACCATTCATATCATGACAATTAAGTAAGACATCACATGACTTAGGTGATGTAGGAAGCTGCCATTTTTGTGTCATTTTGTCCCATATAAAATGCATTGGTGCTTCATAACCCGAATAATCCAGTCGTTATACCGGTATTTCACTCACATTTTGTTATAATCAGCTAAATAGTTTGGGAGAAATTAAGTATAAATTAAAATTTACAGCGATTTGTTAAAAAATTGGTAAAAAAATTAAAATCAAGCCGCATCATGAAAGAAAATAGTGTAGAGCAATAAACTCTCCAATAAATGATCACATATTCATCTAATCTGCATACAAACAGTTGAATTTTGATACAAAAGTCTAAACAGATGATTCTGAGATAACGAACACCACTAATGTGCCTTTTTGTTTTCATTAAAAGATCCATTTGGGTCCATTTAGACCTCTCATTCCCTCAAAATTTGTACTGTTTAGGCTAATAAAACAAAATTTTTGGGGCTACTATGATGATATATCACACATTAATGAATGAAATGTAACAATAAACTGTTATCACAGAGATATGTCTCGCCTTTTTGTAATTTTGATAATGCAAATGTTGAAATTAAAATAGCAATACTTTAACATGTAAGTTATGCAAATATTCAAAGTCGATGAACCATGACTGAAGGTACATGGCTAAACAATCTTCATGCCAATGTTAATACAACTGCATACCAAATACCATTAACTTATTACCAAATATCATTAACCTACCACTAGTGGTTCCCCATAAATTGACCTAATCGCAAAGTAATACATGTAAACTATGAAAAGTTTCAAAGTCAATAGACCTTAACTGAGGGGGCTGGTACAAATAATCTCTATGGTAATGAGATGTGCCAATGCTAATACAACTGCATACCAAATATCATTGACCTACCACTAGTGGTTCACCATGAACTAGACCTAATCACAAACTAATACATTGTTGACGCCGCCACCGCCGTCGCCGCCTACGCCGGAAACAGCATACCTATGTCTCGCTTTTTGACTCCGTCAAGGCGAGACAATAAATGAGTAGTTGAATTGTTCAAGCTAAAAGCATGAACTATTCCATATAAAAGTTTACCGACTCAATGGAGGTTTTTATAAGGCCTAACGTAAAACTTACGTTTACGCAAAAGAGGGACATATTCTAGTATATTTTTTACAGAGTTACTTAGGAACAAGTTTTCTTTAATAGCCCAATATAGGAAATAAGAAAAGACTATTTCATGTTTGCAATATTTCTGTGAAATAACTCGGTAAGTGTTTTGCATGTTAAAATTTTGGCATGTTAATGTTTAATAGAAGGGGGGATCACATTTTTTAAATGTTTTTACAGGGGGGATCAAATAAAAATAGTGAAATATTATGGGGGGATCAAGAAAATTTGATATGTTTGATTTCAAAATGACCAGCCCCCCCCCTCCCAGGTAAAAAATGATAAGTCCCTTAGTGGAGAAGTACCAAAAATCAATAGTAAAGGTTTTGTCTTGACACGACCTGGAATCGAATCCATGACGTCACGCAATCGAGGCGAGCACGCTTCTACGAAAACAACAAATCCGTTAACAGCGGATTGGAATGCAGTTGCTAAACATCATTATAAATTGTACGATGATTTAGCATTTCATGTATTTCTTATTTAAATTATATGTTGTTATTCAATTTCATGTGATTCACTCATTTTTGTGATTCACCTTTTTGAGATTTGATGATGACCATGGATGGTTTGAATTTTATAGCACATTTTGTTTTTCTTGCAATTATGTTTTCATCTCAAAATAAATAAAGTAATGTTTTGCGCAAAGAAAACTCAATAATTCCAAACGTACCCACATACATTTGTATATTGTCAAAACTTGAGATTTTAAGAAGATTATAAATAAGCTCAACTTCATACCCCACGCCCAAATAAAGGTGAAAAGCTTATCGTAGCCTGATGGCAAAGTTTTTTCTGTTTACATTAAGGTTTGATGCATTACTGTTATGACTTTAAGAAAGTAATAGTGTCTTCAAATTGTGTTTTAGTAACTATCGACCTTGACCTTAGACCAAGTGACTACAAAATCATTAGGGATCTTCCTCTAATCATAAATGATCAGTTATCTAAGTAAAGCTCAGTGCCATATGTGGTAATTGATTGTCCTAATTTCCTTGTTCTTTTGCCTCCAAATCAATAAGAATTTTTATTATATGTGACCTTTATATGCAAGTTAGGTTGTAATCTCGTGTGAAATATTTGATTCAGCATCCGGAAAACATATGTTCAGAACAAATTTCTATCTATTTTCAGTAACTTAGACCTTGACCTTAGAAGTAATAATATCACAATCAAGAGTCTGTCTCTCCTTATATGTGACCACATATCTAGTATAGGTTGCAAGTTCATGTGCAGTATTTGATTTAGCATCTGGAAACCACTTTTCCAGCAATAATATCAGTCCTTTTTTAGTCACTGTGACCTTGACATTTGACATGGTAACATCAAGTCCAATAGGGTATTCCACTCATTATATGTGACCATATATCCAAGTAAGGTTGCAATTCTATATAAAGTATTTGCGTCAGCATCCAGAAACAAAATTACTAACTGACTGAATGACTGACAGACTGAAAACGAATTGGTCAAAAACTATATACCTCTGCCGCTTCTGTGTAGAGCAGGGTATACAAAAAATGTAAGAGACCAAAGTGAAGACATGATATAGCTTTAGATTTCATTAATTGATCGTTGGTTGTCGGACATACCACATCTTCTTATCTTTGTTTATACACTGACAAATATATCATACACATTTCTGTCGCAAGTTTAGGTTGCCACCTTATCTCTATTTGTTTTAGGAAAATTCTTGATGCCAGCTATTTAATCACTTTTAGGTCAACAGGTCAGAAAGCAAGTTGGCAAAAATAAAAAAGAATAATATATATTGATGAATGAAAAATAATCACTTCAGTTTCAAATCTTCAAACAGTTATAATGTACATGTAAACGTGTCCTTATTTGATAATTTTAACCGCAAAATGTTTCATAAGATATTAGTACAGCTATCAGTTGAGTAATATATGATTGCACGGGTTGTTGTTTTTGATGTTCTTATTTGTTGTTTTTTTTCATCTGAAGTACAAATAAACAACGTAGGGACATTAACAGAATAATAAAACGAAACTCAATAATACAATAGCAATAGATCAAATGTCAGATAATAAAAAAAGTATAATACTAGGAAAAAAAAAGAAAACGTTTATTAAAAATGCGCAAGTAATAATTAGTAAATGTGTCACGAGAAAAAAAACACTTATCATCAACAAACTTCTTATCTGCAGACTGATAACAAGGTTTATGCATTGGCATACACAGATTCACTGCTAAGTAATTCCTTCACAGCAGAATAACAAAACTCATATTGCTCCTAAAATAAACACAAGATAAGGTTTAGAAGATCAAGTTATTATTTATTTCCGGACATTACTTTGGTTGATATTTCTATATATTAGATTAACTTCTACGATTTAACAATCTTTACTTTCATTTTCGTGTGGCATTTGAAATTCCCAGCCTTCACACAGTCGAACTACTTTGTAGAACCTACCTTTATGATTTTATTGTTAACTCGTTCTTAATAACATAAAATACTCATCAGTTGACGCTAAACAAAAAATCAAACTAATCTGATGAGATGCAAAATAGAGAATAGGAATTATTTATCCAGAACAATATTACACTATCTGTGCAAAATTGTCTTTAAGATAGTCTAAGATACAAATCTGACGAGTGTGTTTAGTCTGGTTTTTATTCTGACAAATATTCTTGAATTTTCAAATTCGACAACACGAGACCTTCTTAAGCTGAATGTATACGATTCTAGTTATTGAGTATGTAGTGAGTTTATTTTTACTAAACATAATTTGAAAAATGTCCCATGTAAGAGTACCTATATTTTTCATACAGAAACATAATTGGCGATTTTAGAACTACATTTCTTGACTCTGTCTTTTAGATGCATGACAATCGGAGATTTTTCTCATTATCGTTTCAGTGTGTATAAAATAACTTACAATACTGGACAAACATTGAGGCCGTCGAATTTGAATTCGTCTTGCAACTTGAAAGATGTCAATTTCTTCATCTGTTTCCATTTTCTCTAAAACCAGGTCCAAAGTAACAAATATGCCGCATCTGGTACAGCCATCCCTAAGTGAAAAACGGTTCATTGTTCTAGTTAAGTCATTTCAGCCAGCCATATATTTCTAATATGAAGCATACGATGCTGGAGAGAATAATCGGCTTATACATATTTAAAAATCTCGTTATTACTACTGATTTTGATTCTTTGCTTACTTTGTTTTGATCTCTCGCGATCAATTGATTAAATACTTTACAAGAGTCAAAAGGTCAAAACTACTAATACATGTACTGTATCATATTCCAATTTGGAATATGTAACCGAGGATCAGTAGCACATCAACAACATGAACACTAGTCTCGAAAAAAAAAATTATTTTGGTATACTAAAGTGATGTATGTGGTTGATACGGTGTGATTTTTAAAAACGTTATATTATTTCTCTGTATAATGTACTACTAACCTACAAATGACGACTATGGATTTATCATCTTCCCGTGTAGTCCTTGTGACATTTTCCATGAAATCAACCATAGTCTTTGTAGAGTTTGGTATCGTGTTATTATCTTCCCAGTCGTTATAAATAAAAACAGTTAAAGGTCTTTCTTCTTTCTTGTTCTACAACATATTTGAAATATACACATGTATATACATGTACATACATAAATGTTCTTTTCAACACCACATTCTATGACATAATTCTGTCGAATGCTTTCCTTTTTGTAATATAGTGTGGTTTGCAGTGAAATGTTAATGTACTAGTATGCTAGTCGGCACAATCCTTCTTTGTGATAGATGTGCAATTTTTATTCAACATTAAAAAAAGAACCTATTTCGCTCAATACAATGCAACAATAAAATGTCTGCTGAATAGAAACTGTTGGCCAACACCTTGTCTTGCTGATCTTTTTTGTTCGACTGAACTTTTGTTTATCCGTTATAGTTTTTAAGATACATGTAATAGGCAAGAAGAATATGTGTGCATATACCACCATGTCCTGCTCGCACTATCACGTTTTCACTTTCAGCGAACCCCGAAATTTTGATCAAACATTAATTTGGCATTTATTTAAAAAGTTCACACCAAATATGTCCTTGCGAACTAAGTTTCAAGTTGATATGACCTCAACTTTATGGTAAATAATAATAATGCCTTAAATAAAAAAAAACTTTTAACTGTATCGGTACAGACAGGCGGACACACAGACCAGTATACATAATGACCCACTACTATCGTAGGCATAAAAAAGGTTGAAATTTTATATAAGGGGATAAGAATTTCTGTAAAGAGTAGACTGACGATTTCAGTGATTGGTGATTTGTAGATCTTTGTTGCTGATCGTTTTTGCTAATCAAAGTTTAATAAAACAAAATAAATAAATAAGAAGATGTGGTATGATTGTAACCGAGACAACTATATCTACCAGAGACAGAATGAATTAGATGTAAGCAGCTATAGGTGACCGTTTGACCTTCAACATGAGCAAAAACTATACCGTATAATAAGCTTTAAAGAACTTATATTAAGTCTATCTATTATAATTTTCAGGATATAAGGTAAACACATAAAAATGGAAAAACACATCATTAAGCCAATAACTCTTATAATGAGTCGATTGACGACTTTGACTTATTTCTATTTGATCTTATCTGGCTGTTCATATGTTTTGGATTTTTAGTTTTTTCTCTATTTATTATATAGTTTTCATCAAAAACGCAAAATATTCAAAATCGTCATTGAAGGGCAATTACTTTTTTAAAGTGTGCACTAATGAACATTGTAAACTGACTTCAATATTTGTATATCTTATTTTTCTGAAAAAATATTTTCTGTTACCAGTTCCTTCTTGTCTCATAGTTTTTTTACCGAACGCGTTAAATCATCATTGAAGGGCAATAAGAATAAGTGATCTTATTTGCCGATCTTGTTTTGCTGGGCAATAATTCACATAAGGAGTCGTCTGACAATAAACTAGATAGGTAGATAATGACATTCTGAACATTTTTGTGTCCGAGTAGATTTTCTCTATCTTTAACGATTTTCACATATTTGTTCGATACTTGCATCTTGCCCTATTGTACAATTTCTGGCATGACGGCCAGGTTGGTTGTAAATGTCAATGAGACAGCAACCCAACGACACAAATAACTGAAAGACATCTAGAGGCCTACATACGTTTTTCAGTAATAGACAGGTGCGTGAACACTTTATCAGACTCTAAATATATCTGTGTTTAAAAACCATTGTTTGTTTACTTAAGAGACTATCAAATATCTTTCGTTAACACCAAGTCCCTAAAAATATACCCACCAAAAAAGTTATAAAAAAGGAAAATTAAGACATTACAAAATACAAACAATGGCCATTTATGTCGAACCGTATTCAGACTTCTAGAAATTGTGTAAATTGATTGTTGTTTGCTTAACGTCATGGTCCAGTAGCATATTTCTATGCATATTCAGGACAATCTAGAAATTAAAGTGACGCCTGTTCGATATGAATGAAGTCTTTTTTTTCATTTTCATAAATTATTTCAAACAACCGATACATGATTTTTTAATCTATTTGGTGATCACTCAATTATGTAATATCAAATCATAAAATTAATTTTAAACCTACTTTATGTCTTAATGAAACTTTAACTTTGTCTTGTAATACATTTGACGAATTTCTGCTTATGATGAAATTATCGTTGCTGAATCTTTGGTCAGTATCACTCGGTATTACCGGTACATCCTAGAAGACAAAAAATAAACAAAATTAATACATAAAATAGTTGATAGACCAGGTAACACAAAAATTTCGATTAATGCACTTTTGTAGATATTTGAGGTTTGAAATATAACTTATTAAGGTTAAATAGCAATATGGTAAATTCTGTTTATTCATCTGTGCATTTCATGTGCGGTCTGATGAAATAAAATCAAACGTTTACGTGTGCGGTCTGGTGGAATATAATCAAACGATTTTGATAACCATCTTGGTGTAAAACAAGCCAAACGCTAATTCCTTACAAAACAGACATGTTTTCTGTTTTCTATATGACGAACTTGGAAATTTACCTCTATTTATTGCAAGAAAACAGAAAAATATTGAAATATTGGTTACATATTATTACACATAAAACAAAGGTTGTATACAATGTTTATAAACTTTCGTATATGAGGATGCTAACAATTGTTTTGTAAACTTGGCTTCTATTTTTTTATCTTGGGTTAAATTATGCATCATGGTTATTTCAAGATGCTTGTACAATCTGTACATATGCTATATACACTCGTAATATAGATCAATTCTTGCAGCAATTGGGCAATACCATTCAAGAAAGTTATAAACTTTGAGTTTATAGAAGATTGAATTTAACCTTTTGTTTTGAAACAAATCTTAATTCTAACAATAATGTTTGTATGGTAACAAAGTTACGTAGTGGAACATTATAATTAGATTTTGAAATTGGTCGTTAACATAATATTCCGAGAGACAATCATTATTTAGATGCTGTAAACTATATGTTATTGAAGACGAAATCAGTTTGTTCTAGCTTGCCCAATTTATAGAACTGTGTAAAACAATTTTTACCAAAGTTTTATTGTTCTTGGCATAATAATTATAAACTTGTGTATGTCTAGTAAGTCTCTCACTATCAAATTATGTAATTAGTGAATAAAAAGTACGTGGAATATCAGATCTCATATGCTTTACATTTGCCAAAGCATTTTACTGTTGTTCTCTGCTGTCTTTACATGTGTATTATGCTTATTTCGGAGCATGTTTATGCCTTAGCAATAAAAAAAGCATTCATTACTAGTCTGTCACTATTTTTTGACATGGAAAGAAAAAAAAATCATTATTTGAAATCTATCTCACAGCAGATTTATCTTGCACTGAAGGTAATTTAAGCATATTATTATATATACAAATAGTTAGCAGGTTTTTTAAAAGTCAATTGTGCTTTATTTCAATTTGTCTTTATACACATTATAGTTTACCTCATCTAACTTTTCTAAAATAACCATGGTTCTGCAATCATTGTCATAGAGCAGGGACCACAAATCACCGATAGTATTTTGTAATGGATACTGTGTTACAAAAACATTTCTTCCTTCTATGAAGCTCTGAAAACAAATTAAAATTATCGTATTGAAATGTCAGTTCATGATGTTAAAACAGAACAAACGTGATGGTTACAGGCATTGTATGGTGTTTTCAACTAGAGATAGGAGGGAATGTGTATTACCTAATCTGGCATCTATGAATAATGTTAGTCAGTCCCATAAAGAAAAATTGATGTTCACATATGTTCTCCTAAATCTTCAGAGTATTCCAGACTGTGCTTTTTTTTTAAATATATATATTATTCAGTATATTATCCTATAGGTCTTATGTAAAATTCATATTCCACGATAAGAGCAATTACTTATTATATTCGGTACTATCTCGGGTAAATTAGACAGTAAAATTTCTACGCATACCAAAAATCATAAAAATTAAAAACTGTTAAGTTTAGCCACCTCTTAATTTCTTGAATATCAGCCTGTGCGCCAATCATACTTTCAATTTTAGTTCAAATAGGCCTCCATATAGTAAACCAAGCCGTCAATATTGATTAGAAGAACGATTCTTCACTTCACTTCTATAATCTGTACAATTCTCATTATGGTATGCCTCACATTTATTATCACCGCCAGTTTTATAAAGTTGATAAAACAAGAATGTGTCCATAGTACTCGTACTATAATTGTCTATGTTCAGTGAACCGGCAAATGGGGTCAAAACTCTAATTTGGCATTAAAAATAGAATCAGAAAGATCATATCATAGGGAACATGTGTACTAAGTTTCAAGTTGATTGGACTTCAATTTCATCAAAAACTACTTGAGCAAAAACTTTAACCAGAGGCGGGACAGACGGATGAACAGACGGATGAACGAACGGACAGACGGACGGACGAACGAACGCACAGACCGAAAAACATAATGCCCCTAGGTGGGGCATAAAAACGAAAATAAAATCACCTTATTGACAATAGTTGATGAAAGTATAAAAACAATTCAATAGATCAAAAAGTCTATGTAGAATCTCTAAGAATGGTACTGAAAATGGGGTATACAAGATATCGTTAACGTTATTGAATACTTAAGATTTTGGTTTTGCTAAGATACCAGTACTGTAATAACGTGATTGTTATGGTATGTGTATGCTTATGTGTTTAAATAAAAGCAATTTATTGTTTTGGTTTGTATAAATGAACACGTGATGAGAATGCTCGTAAGAGCATGCATTGTTCACCTGGTAAAGATTTGCCATTTTGATATTATCTTTATTTCAGTCAGTTATGTAATTTTTGTAGATAATTTTTGCCGCGAACATTTTGTACCTATCTATTAGAGAACAGAAAAAGTATTTTCGGTACTTTGAGTTATTAAGACTAAAATGTGAATATCCTTTCCCATTACTAAGGCAGGAGGATTTTGAAAATGAATAAATGGCAGAAGTTCTTTAATTTAATTATGTTACAAGTTTTAACATAAAGTTGTTCATTGTCGATGTCCATAAAAAGAAAATAAACCACCACTGCCATATCTATAACTTCCATTTTGTATGTCAAATCTAGTATAGTTTTCACTTCGATTCGTCAGGGTTGCGCACATGCGCATTAACACTGATTTTATAACTCTATTCAACCCGAGTTGGACGAATAGTTTCCAAGATACTTTGCAAAATTGTAAAAAATATTCAATAAATTGTATTAAGGCCAGTACCTCCGTAAGTCACTTTGCTTTTTGTAGATCCTATATTGCTGAACATTTTTGTTGTTTGCAGTTTTTATCTATCTGTTATAGTTCTTAAGATTACTGGCAAACACATGACAATTCCTCAAAAATCATCAATATAGATTCATAAATCCTTAACGAGGCTCTGGGCCTGGTAAGCTAATAAAAATGTAGTCTATGAACACACTGTGACGGCAATATGTTTCAACAATTTAGAGGCCAATAAATCTTTCGACAAATATGTTAAAAGTGCTCCATATCAAACAAAGGTGTAGGCCCAGAAAGACCCCTTTTTGGCCCCAAAATATAGCAGTTTTACAAAATTGTTAAAATGTCAACATTTAGCTATAATTTATTGGAAAGAAGAATACTTCTGTTACATAAATATGGGCTGTTTTTGACAATACAATGCACATGTGTCGGGTACTAGCATCATTAAATCTTCACAATTTTAGCATTTGAGTTCAATTTTAGACGTTTTCCGTCTTAAATGGAAGTGGCCGCATTTGTGTTCATTCTTAATATTTAAATATAAATAGTATTTGAGGATAATACATAACATAAATAAAGGTTGAGACTGAACACGGATGCGGCCACTTTCATTTTTGACAAAAACCATCTGAAAAGTGACATATTATGGCATATTTGATAGATTTTTCATATTTAAGCTTGAATTTGAGCGCCTTTAATGACTAAATCAGTTCAAATCTTTCACATAAACTAATTGAATCGACTGAAGTAGACATTTAAGTGTCCAACATCTTTCATCAGATGAACCTGAAGTTTGAGGCCAAAATCGGCCCTTACCGGACCTACTCCTTTAAAGTATGTTTCTTTAATTTCTAGTAATATTGATATTTACATTAATGTGCATCTTTTAATCTGAAACTTACTGGTATCTTCACAGCATTTATATAATCATTACTAGATCTCCCATACGACATAAGATATGGCCTGTAATCATCATCTATGGAAAATAGCAAACGCACGTTTATCAATGTGAATAAAGGAGATGAAGACAATATCAACGAGATACAAAATAAACACAATCAAATAATATTTTTGTTCTTGTGTAAAACACTAAGGCATTGGTTTTTTTCTAATATTTTGAAGCCCCAAATGTGACCTATAATAGTTGCTTACAGCCACGTCATTATGAATTATGACTTTGATCGGTAGTTGTCTCATTAGAAATCATACAACATATATCATATCAATAGAAAGATAGTTAATTTAATGAATATAAAATTCAAGATTGGGACTACCTCAATTAAATCATATGTACATCAGTGTAAGTTATAACACTTTAGTTGTCGTGTAAGTATGCCAGGGCAAGGTATTAAACGTTAGTTGTCGTGTGAGTATACCAAGGACAAGGTATAACACGTTAGTTGTCGTGTAAGTATGTTAGGGCAAGGTATTAAAGGTTAGTTGTCGTGTGAGTACACAAGGGCAACGTATAACACGTTAGTTGTCGTGTAAGTATGACAGGGCAAGGTATAAAAGTTAGTTGTCGTGTAAGTATGCCAGGGCAAGGTATTAAACGTTAGTTGTCGTGTGAGTATACAAGGACAACGTATAACACATTAGTTGTCGTGTAAGTATGTAAGGGCAAGGTATGAAACGTAAGTTGTCGTGTAAGTATGTCAAGGCACGGTATAACACGTTAATTGTCGTGTAAGTATGCCAGGGCAAGGTATAAAAGTTAGTTGTCGTATAAGTATGCCAGGGCAAGGTATTAAACGTTAGTTGTCGTGTAAGTATGTCAGTGCAAGGTATGAAACGTAAGTTGTCGTGTGAGTATACCAAGACAAGGTATAATACTTTAGTTGTCGTGTAAGTATGTCAGTGCAAGGTATTAAACGTTAGTTGTCGTGTAAGTATACAAGGGCAAGGTATGAAACGTAAGTTGTCGTGTGAGTATACCAGGATAAGGTTTAACACTTTAGTTGTCGTGTAAGTATGCCAGGGCAAGGTATTAAACGTTAGTTGTCGTGTGAGTATACCAGGACAAGGTACAACACTTTAGTTGTCGTGTAAGTATGTTAGGGCAAGGTATTAAAGTTTAGTTGTCGTGTGTGTATACCAGGACAAGGTATAACACGTTAGTTGTCGTGTAATATGTAAGGGCAAGGTATGAAACGTAAGTTGTCGTGTAAGTATGTCAGGGCAAGGTATAAAAGTTATTTGTCGTGTTAGTATACCTGGGCAAGGTATTAAACGTTAGTTGTCGTGTAAGTATACCAGGGCAAGGTATGAAACGTAAGTTGTCATGTGAGTATACCAGGATAAGGTTTAACACTTAAGTTGTCGTGTAAGTATGTCAGGGCAAGGTATAAAACGTTAGTCGTAGTGTGAGTTTGCCAGGGCAAGGTATAACACTTTAGTTGTCGTGTATGTATGTCAGAACAAGGTATGAAACTTAAGTTGTCGTGTGAGTATATCAGGACAAAGGTATAACACTTAAGTTGTCGTGTAAGTATGTCAGGGCAAGGTATAAAACGTTAGTCGTCGTGTGAGTATGCCAGGGCAAGGTATAAAACGTTAGTTGTCGTTTAAATATGCCAGGGCAAGTTTTCATGTTAGTATGATAGGGCAAGGTATAAAACGTTAGTTGTCGTTTAAATATGCCAGGGCAAGGTATAAAACGTTAGTTGTCGTGTAAGTATGACAGGGCAAGGTATAAAAGTTAGTCGTCGTGTGAGTATGCCAGGGCAAGGTATAAAAGGTAAGTGTTCAATTTAATATGATAGGACAAGACATAAACGGTAAGTTGTTGTGTAAGTATACCAGGGCAAAGTATAAAACGTTAGGTGTCGTTTAAATATGCCACGGAAAGGTTTAAAACGATAGCTGTCGTGTAAGTATGCCAGGGCAAGGTATTATAAATCGTAAGTTGTCGTTTAAGTATGCCAGGGCAAGGTATTAATCGTTAGTGGTATGGCAAGGTATAAACGGTTGGTTGTCGTGTAAGTATGCCTGATTGTAAACTTTAATTATCATTTATTATATCCATTTTAAGATTTTTAATATTACACATGGTGTAACTATGCAAACATCATATAACCGGAAATGTATGAAGTAAAACACCAAAATTATTTAAAAAAAAAAACTCTTACTCACGTGGTAAAATATTTTGAACTGCATTTTTTGAAACATTTTCCTTTCGTTTGCCTGCTAGGAATTTATTAACCGCAATTTCAGGCTTTAAGTCCTGTAATTTCTGAAATTAAAAGAAACATATCCTCATGAGTTATGATTCTATCTGAGAAGTTGTATGACAAAATGATTTGTTAAGGAGAGGAACTAAAATGATATACCACTGAAATATTATTAAATTTTTCTGAATGTCAGTAAAATGTTATTGTGTTCGAAATTTAATTTAAAAGTGTAAGTTGTTGTTCTCCCTTTCGAGAAATATTTGGTTCTAAGTGTAGTTATTTCTTTAAATTATATTGGGTAAATCATTTTTTTTTTTTTAGAAGAAGTAAACAAATAAACATTATCGATGGAAGTTGATATCTTTGTTTTATAGAAAAATCACATCAATGTCATTTCATTAGATAAAAAAGGAAAATAATTAATGTTTATTTTCTGGATATTCAACACTAAAATGTGACAATACTTGTTGAATCTAGTTTGATTCATGTTCCCGAATTATGATTCTGGTCGAACAAAATATGTCACTCCTTGCCAAATTACATTTTTTTAAATTCTTGTCTAGATTCTGAAGTTGAAAGTTAATCTATAAAAATGGGAGAAAATCTCAATTAAATTGTATTTTACAGAAAAAAATTACCAAACTCTCAGTTATTTCCTAAGGTTTGCAAATCTTAAAACATTTTCTATTAGATACCGACAAATTAAAATAAAACTTAAAAATTGTAAAGATGACAGACCGAATGGTGCTCGGTTGAATAGAGTTTAGTAAGTTCAGTGACCCATGCATTATTTTTTGTATTCATTGAATGTGTATTTCCTTCTAAAATATTTTCATTTTTCAAATTTTGTCCTCCGATATATGAAGGAGATATAATTTGTATCTGAGAAGATAAATGAATTTTGCAGAACATGTCATTTAAATAAAAATAAATATCGGTTCCATTTATTTCTTACATCATATTAGGAACAGAATAGTATAGACAAGTGTATATGCTTTTGATTTGCAAAACATGAAAAAAGTTTATCGTCCTTTTTAACACCAAAAATCAGTTGAACTTAAATGCATGATCGAATATGTATTGTGAAACACAGATCTATAAGACAATCAGTAGGTAATACAGAAGACTAATACACAATAACACGAGAACAAGGCTATATAATATCATTTTAAGTAGTGCCAACAAGGGAAACTTTATAAATATAAATGTCAGGAAATATCAAAAATAAACAACAATATTGTTTTTATATGTTTGTTATAATTCATATTCATTTTACGCTCACAAAAAGAATATTCCAAAAGGATATTTCCTTTCCACCTTTCTTCACACAATCATGACAACAACAACTATCTTTACTTTAATTCCAACTAGTAGATTCACAGTTCAAAATATGTCTCCAATATATGTATGTTGATGGTTATCTTGTGTGCTTTCTTTCGACATGTATGCTATACTTACTTTTCAGCAGAGTTTTTTGGAGAATGCATACGACAAATACATTTATTGAATTGGAATACTAACGTGATACTCCCTTTCAATAAGTCTTGAATCCACCATGTTCAGGAAATCTTGTCTAGGAATAGCGGATTGAGGTACGGTGAAAGCCTCTACTAAAACATCGTACACCGTCGCATATTGTTCCTGTAATTATATGTTTGACTTAAAAGAGAAAAAATTAAAATTGCTATTACAACATTATTCTTATTTTCAAAGTGTCTGTCATTCGGTATATTGAGAAAAATGATTCTGAAAGAATAAATAACGGCGGTCAAGTATTGCGATTGCATCGTGAAGGATCGTAAAGGAAATTTTATCCAGAAGACACATGCAAAGTTAGTATATAGTCTAAATTAATGAATTATAATGACAAATATAGAAAAATAAAACTGTCTGTCAAAATGGTCCTCGTTATGATCAGTATCCGAGAAAAATCAAGGATTAAAAGTACACCTTTTTTATAAAACTACAAAAGGCAGATTGCTCATCGAAATTTCAAAGAAATGAACATGTAAACAAAAATTTTGAATGCATATATAAATAAGAAGATGTGGTATGAGTGCCTATGAGACAACTCTCCATCTAAGTCACAATGTATAAAAAGTTCAAAATTATAGGTCAAAGTACGGCCTACAACACGAAGCCTTGGCTCACACCGAACAGCAAGCTATACAGGAACCCAAAATGAATAGTGTAAAAAAATTCAAACAGGAAAACCAACGATCTAATCTATATAAAACGAGAAACGAGAAAAACCTATGAACCACACCAACACACGACAACCACTGAACAACAGGCTCTTGACTTAGGACAGGTTCATAAAAATGCAGCGAGTTTAAACGTTTTAACAGGCGCCAACCTTCATCCTAACCTGAGACAGTAGTGCAACATTACAACATAAAAATACACACTAAAAGAATCAATTGAAATGGCTTAACTTGATCAACAAGACATTTGAACAAAAACAAGTAAACATACACTGAACGAATAAGTTTGATCAATGACAAAATATGAATATAATATTAAAACGTAGTGCCTATATAACATAGACGTTACAGGTAGTAATAAAAAAAGATGAGAAAGAGTGTCAATAAGACAACTCTTACCTGGGACAAAATAGCGTTAGATAAAGCAAAGTACGCAGGTAAATTTAAATATGATAATTTTGTTGTAAGGAGTACGAAAGTAAACATTTTTTACATTGGTGGCCTTCGGCTGTTGTCTGCTCTATGGTCGGGTTGTTGTCTCTTTGACACATTTCCCATTTCCATTTTCAATTTTGCGCCTGCTATCTTTTTAATAGCTACATTCGACGGAAGCAGACGGATATATTTTGGTATTTTCAAAAAATTCAGGATTCAGATTGTTTAAGTTTTTCTACTTCTTTTCCAATACCGGAACTCAGGTGGTAAATTTAGAATTAGTCTCCCGTATGAATCGCGGGATGTTTTATTTAGATATAAATGTTTCAGAGCAAATTAAATTTCAATTTATTGCTTATTTTACATGTTTGTATATTTTGTCTAGTCCGGAGGTATCGATCGGCGTCTTGTATTAATGATAATTGAGCTACTTGAAGTTTCTTTATGTAAGTTACATAGAAATCTATAAGTGTTTATGGTATTTCATCAACGAGATATCAGCCCTTGACACCGATCTGCAAAAAATTTCAATCCGGCGGTTACAGCTTCTTGTTAATTAATCATTATGCATGCTCGACATACATCTAATTATTATTTTGTTACGTTCATTTATTATAATAATTTTATTTATTTATTTATTCATTTATTTTATTGTTTCCTTCATGTTTGTATATCACCACTTAATTAGTTAATATTACGAAGCATCGTTATAGACAATATATAATATAGTATATTTAATACAACGATTGTAGTCTGTCTGTTTTTATAACATGTTTCATTTTAAGAGATTTTCATTATCATAATAGATGTGATTTAATTAACGTTTAATATTCTGGTAATTATCCCTGTGTATGCTTACGTTATAACCTCGTGTGCTCTGTTGTTAGTAGCTTATCATTCGGCACAGGTTGTTTAATCAGCCTCTTGGCACGTGTAACCTAGATTAGGTTTTTTGTTATTGTATGCTGACCGACATTTGTGTATAGTAAACCAAATATTTTATTTATGACATTGAAAGGTTAACGTACTTGGTTATAGGCGTCAATGAACTTTTTGTGGTCGCTTTGTAATAAATACTTTAATTATAGTATAAAGCAATATTGTTTGTTTGTTCAATTATATTCTTTTAGTTTTAGATAAGATGAACACAAGAGGGTCAAGGAAAAAGCGTAAAGCAGCTACAAAAACAACAACATTAGAAGCTACTACCCGACAAGAGGAAACACAGCCTCCAATAGTACCAGATCCAGTCCCTAACCATCCCTCAACTTCAGGAGGTGTAGCAGTAATGGACCCTACATCAGTTGTTACAAATCGACCAGGTAATGTAATTAGTGAAGATCATCTAATGTTCATGCAAAAACACCTACCTACTCGCCTAGCCTTGACGATGACATAAAATTACATGTCAGTCAGAATTTAAGACAAAAAATTCAAACGGGCGAGTATGTCGATTTGGCTCTTTTATTGCATAACTCAGTCATTGATAAAGACAAGCAAAAAGTCACTTATGAGCAAGGGCAACTTGTCATAATTCCAGTTTTGCCCCAAACAAAGATCACAAACATCGAAACTTGGTCCGATGCCTTTCTAATTTTTATGAGTATATATTGTTCTGTGCATCCCCATAAATTCCGAGAACTTGTAAAGTACATGACTTCTGTTCGAAAAGGTGCCAGACGTCATGGAGGTATCGGATGGAAATACTATGATGAGCAGTACCGCTTGAAAAAAGCTTGAGACCCAAGTGGGTCGTGGGAAAAAATTAGATTCGGAATACTGGATGTGGTATATGCAGTCCGCATCGGTTCAACCGGAGGGCCAAGCCACAAATCATGCCTCAAACAATCGTACTTTTTACACAAACCAAACGGCTACTACATTAAGATGTTACTGTTTTAATTTCGACGGCATATGTAACAAGCATTATTGTATCTACAATCATTCTTGCTTGCGTTGTGGTCTGCATAATCCAATTATAAGTTGTGTTAAGCAAAACCAGTTTCATGGGCAAGTGTCCAGTCAAACTAGGACTGAACCTAGATTCAGTGGTCCAAGATTCACTAGACCAAGGTCTAATTTTCGTTCCCCAAGACCAAATTATCAACCTCAAAGACCAAATGGACGCTTTATGGGAATTAGGCAGAACACCTATCAAGGTTGATTGTTTAGAAAAATACTTAAAATATTACCCAGACTCAAAAATTTCTTTATTGTTATTGGATGGTTTCATAAATGGTTTTAGTCTTCAATATTCCGGTCCTCGAACTCCTTTTATTTCAAAAAATCTCAAATCAGCTGAACTGCTTAAGACAGAAACGCACTCGAAATTAAATAAAGAAATTGCTTTAGGTAGAATGTGTGGTCCTTTTAAAATAATGCCTATATCAACCTTGCGCACTTCACCAATTGGATTGGTAAATAAATCTGATGGGAGTTTTAGGCTTATAATGCACTTGTCTTTTCCAAACGGTTGTAGTGTCAATGACTTTGTCAATCCCAATGAAACATCTGTAAAGTACACATCCTTTGATGAAGTAATCGACATGGTGTCATCTCTCGGCAAGGGGGCCAGACTTGGGGTTCAGGACATAAAGTCCGCTTTTCGTCTTTTGCCTATTTCTCCAGGTGATTTCGATTTACTTGGAATATATTTTGATGGTAATTTTTATGTGGAAAATCCCTTCCATTCGGTTGTTCTATTGCTTGCACCTTGTTTGAAAAATTCTCTACATTCCTGCATTGGTTGGTTGTTTCATTTGCTGGTAAGCATTCAGTTAAGCATTATTTAGATGATTTCATATTCGGCGGTTCTGCAAATTCGGATGACTGCTTGGTTTTAATGAACACCTTTACTGAACTTTGTAATGAGTTAGGCGTGCCTATAGCCGAGGACAAAACAATACATCCTACTACAAGATTAACTTTTCTTGGCTTAGAAATAGACACAGTTAACATGGTCGTTCGTATTCCAGTGACCAAGCTTATTAAATTACTTTCTCAACTTCAACCAATGACAATAAAACGGAAGATTAGATTTAAGGATTTTGAGTCGCTAGTTGGGTTATTAGCTTTTTGTTCACGTGCTGTGCCATCCTCTAGAGCATTTTTGCGGAGATTTTATGATGTTATTGCATCATTTAGGGTCAAGAAACCATTTTTCTCAGTCGAATTACCTCTGAAATTCGAGAGGACGTCATGGTATGGTTAGAATTATTAAAATCTTTTAATGGAGATTCTTATATTATTGGTCTGAATTGGACAGATGATGATATTTTGCAACTATTTACTGATAGTGCAGGCAATGCTGAACTTGGTTGTGGATCTTACTTTAACGAAAAATGGGTACAGTTAAAATGGTCAGATTCGTGGGTAGGATTAAACATTTTACAAGACGTATACTTAACAACAAAATTATTTTCATTTACCTGTTTATAATATGACGCAGGTTTCTTCAAAAGTGATGATTTTCTAAAAATTGTTTGTTATTTCACAATGATATCATACTTTAACTTTGTTTAAACCTGTTTATTAACTCTTGACTTTAATTATTTATCCCTTGTAATTTTTTATTAACTGTGTATTTGCATTCAGGTGTCACAGGTCAAATTTATTCGTTCATTGTGTGTTAATTTACGTTTTTTGATTGAGTTAAGCCTTCCAATTGATATTTTATAGTGTGTTTTTCTATTTTGTGATGTTATACTATTGTTTCAGGGAGAAGGTTTGGTACCATTAAAACGTTTAATCCCGCTGCAAATGTTTGCACCTGTCCTAAGTCAGGAATCTGATTACAGTAGTTGTCGTCTGTTTATGTAGTTCATACGTGTTTCTCGTTTTTTTATAGATTAGACCGTTGGTTTTTCCATTTGAATGGTTTTACACTAGTAATTTTTTGGGGTTCTTTATAGCTTGCTGTTCGGTGTGAGCCAATACTCCGTGTTGAAGGCCGTACCTTGACCTATAATGGTTTACTTTTATTAATTGTAACTTGGATGGAGA